CAGATCCACTGTTATTTTAGTATTATTTATATTCTGTTAAAGTATGTATTAATATTTAGAATTTTTCAGTTTTCATTTTAATATACATTTTATTCATTAATAATTACAACTTAAAATTAAAACTTAAATGTTTCTATCTTTATTTATTTTTATTTTATTCCATTCCATCTTGATTTCAATTAATAGAAATAATTTTTAATAGTTTTGGTTTTAGTTAACAATAACAACACTGATGATGACTCAATGAAACACAGTAACAATCCTAACAGCTTTCACAGATTCTGTGCAACGGCTTTCACGTTTAGAACTTCTATATTTAACTGAACAATGTTCCTGATTTAAAACACATTTTAAGATTCTGGGTGGTTGCTTAGTAGCCCAAGTCAAGATAGCCCACCGTCAAGAATGTGATATTTCTGTATGTGATATATATATATATATACATGTGAATGTGACTGTGGTCCCTCTTTCAGTCAGTGAAATTGTTTTGGCCTTTTTGTCATCTGCCAAGTGAAGATCTTTAGTCTGATCACTTAGTAATATGGTAAAAAAAAAAAAAAGAAGCGTAAATTAATACCACCAAAGTTGAATACTAAAACTCCTAAGCATAGCCTTCAAGGGCATCACTTAAAAATATAAAACAAGGTTCTGGAGGTCTGCTGTCCCGCAGAGTTTAGCTCCAAACCTGATCAACATCACCTGCCTATAATAACTCTCTTGTAATGCTGAAGAACATGATTTGCTTGCTCTGGTGTGTTTGATTAGAGTTGAATTTAAACTCTGCAGGACAATGGACCTCCAGGGCCAGATTTGATGAACCCTGAAAAAATAAAACATGAATATTTCTGGCTCTAAATTCAAAGCTGTTTTAAGAGTTTGCAAGCAATTGCCTCAGCCGAGAACACAATGTTGTGTACACACAACAAGCCATCAGTTCTCAACAATATATTAAGACCAACTGTTTTGAGTTGTTTTGTCTATCTCTTTTGTTTATATTGATTGTATTACAATCACAGTTGATTTTCATTGTTCTAACATAAAAGTTAGGGTTAATCCTTTGTTTGGCTTGGTGAAAGTGCAGTCCGTAAGTTTCCAGGCAAATCAACTTCTCCTGTATGCTGAGATGATCTGGTTCTGTTTTGATCTACTGGCTCACATCAATGGCTGATTGCGTGTGCACCTTTGATGTACAAAGAGAGTTTGATGTGACTTCACCAAACACTGGCTGACCTTTTTTTTTTTTGCTGATCGTGAATACCACATGCCAATTTGTTCAACCATCATGTCATTTGATGTTTTCATCAAGCGTCAGAATTATTTTACCATGCCTGCCAAACTCTCCGCTCACTCCTCTCGTAACTCTCTGTGTTGAATGGAAAAGACTGTCTGCATCCATTTCTTCACGTCTGTAATCTCAAACTCACGTCTTTGTTGTGTGTCCAGGCTTTTGCTTAATCTGAAACCGCCATCGTCTCCATGAGCATGTTTTATATGAAATGCTGTTTTCAGAGTATCCGGTTTACAATTTTGGATGTCTTTCGGGACTGTGATGGACTGTGGTAACTTTGTCTTTCTCTTTGTCTTCTGATTGGTTGGATTTTCACCACAGGAAACAAGGGCAAGTACTGCACCCTTCTCTTCTCAGACCTTTGTGTTTTATTTTCATTCATCAGTTGTTGTATCATTTATTTTCAGTGTCATTTGCATTCATCTATTTTTATCTTTTTTTTTTTTTCTTTTCCCAGAGCGGTCATGTAACATCTGTGTGTGTGTTTTATCAAAATAATGTCACTTCTCAAAAGTGCATTTAATTATTTTTATTATTTTTTTAATCTATAAACATTCATTCTGCATGCAGTTAATTACTGCTTTTGTTTGTTTAAGATGCCAGCTTTTCCTGTAAAACGTGTTCAGTCAAATCATCTGATATGGGTTTTTCAATGGACAATGCTGATACCAGTAACTAGAGATTAGTATGGCTGCTAAAATGCTGATATGTTATATCCCTGTTGACGAAAATCATCTTAAACCAGCCTAAAATGGTTTGATGGTCTCCCATGCTGGTTTTTTTACTGGTTTAAGAGGGGTTTTGGGCTGTGGATAAGAGCTAGACCAGCTGAAGACCGGCTTGGCAAGGCTGCAAGACCATCTTAAACCAGTTTAGGCTGGTCTTGTGCATGTTTTTTTCAGCAGGGAAAGACTACTACAATTGATTTAACATGCCAGCTTCTTTTGTAAAACGTGTTGGGTTTTTCAATGGCCAATGCTGATACCAATAACTAAAGATCGGCATGGTTGCTACAATGCTGGTGTGATTTCCCTTTTGGGAAAAAATAATTTTAAACCAGCCTAAAATGGCTTGACTGTCTTTGTTGGTCTCCCATGTTGGTCTTTGTACTGGTTTTAGAGAGTTTGGGCCTGTGGATAACAGTTAAACCAGCTTAAGACCAGCTTGGCAAGGCTGCAAGACTATCTTAAACCAGTTTAAGCTGGTTTTAGGCATATTTTTACAGCAGGGAAAAACTAGTACATTTGAATTAAAGCAGTTGAGATCTACATATACAATGAAATAACATTTTGTTATGCCATGTTTACTAGTATTTCACTTGGATAGTTCTCAACTCAACTCAACTTTATTTATATAGCACCAATAAAAACAACGATTGTTGACCAAGATACTGTACAATCAATCAAATATCAACAACATTAGCACTCAGAACAACATAAATTACAGCACAGAACAGAGCTGGCACACCACAATTAACTACAGTTAAAAGCCAGAGAAAAAAGATGGGTTTTGAGTTTGGCTGTAAACTCATTCAGTGTAGAGGCAGTTCTAATAGAAACCGGTAGGCTGTTCCAGAGTTTCGGAGCAGCAACAGCAAAGGCTCGGTCGCCTCTTGATTTCAATATAGCCTGAGGAACGTTTAATAGTCTCTGGTTGAAAGACCTAAGAGACCTTCCAGGATTGTGAGCAGATAATAAATCAGACAGATATACAGGAGTTAACCCATTCAGAGCTTTAAAAACCAGCAGCAGGACTTTAAAATCAATTCTATAACGAATTGGGAGCCAATGCAAAGATATTAATACTGGGGTTATGTGCTCTCGTTTACGCACACCAGTAAGGAGCCTAGCAGCAGCATTTTGTACCATTTGAAGTCAATTAAGAGATGCTTGATTAATACCCATGTAAAGGGAATTACAGAAATCGAGCCTCGTTGAAATAAAAGCATGAATGACCCTTTCAAAGTCCTTATAAGAAAGAAATGGTTTCACTTTAGCTAAGACTGAGATGGAAAAAACTGTTTTTGACTACTGTACTAATCTGTTTGTCAAATTTGAGAGCACTATCAAAATAGACCCCCAAATTCTTCACTACTGGTTTCACATAGGAAGACAAATGGCCAAGATTTAAGCCAGGGGTGCTAGCAACTTCTGATATTTCAAAACTATAATGTCAGTTTTGCCTTCATTAAGGTGAAGAAAATGTAGGGACATCCAGGCCTTAACATCAGCTAGACATGCCAGCAGAGCATCCAAACCCTTGTTATTAGATTCCAGGGGCAGATAGATTTGGGTATCACCTGCGTAACAATGGAAGGAGACACCATGTTTCCTAAAAATCGACCCCAGGGGAAGCATGTACAAAGAGAATAAGATTGAAGCGAGAATAGAGCCTTGAGGGACACCGCACGTAAGGGGAGCTGCATCTGAAGTAAATTCACCAACACTAACAGAGAACCTTCTATTGTTAAAATAGGATTGAAACCATTTGAGAGCATTACGCTGAATGCCCGCCCAATGCTCCAAACGAGAAATCAAAATGGAGTGGTCAATTGTATCAAATGCCGCCTTCAGATCTAACAGCACTAACACAGCAGATTTGGCAGCATCAAGAGTCAGTAAAATATCATTCAGAACTTTAACCAGTGTTGTTTCTGTGGAATGGTTTTTCATAAAACCCGATTGGAACACTTCGAAAATATTGTTATTAAACGGAAAGCTCTGTAGTTGGTGAAACACTATTTTCTCAAAAATTTTAGAAATAAAAGAGAGATTTGAGACTGGCCTAAAATTAGTCAGCACTGTCGGATCTAAATTAGGCTTTTTAAGAAGTGGATGTACAATGGCGTGCTTCATGTCATCTGGAACCATTGCCATTTCAAGGCAGCTGTTCATAATCTTAAGAACAGTAGGCCCAATCACCTCAAAAATATGTTTAAAAAAATTGAGGAGGAAGAATGTCATAGGAAGATCCATAGGGTTTAAGCTGGCTTACAATATCTTGTAGAGCAGGCAGAGTTACAGGCTCAAACTGACTCAAGATGCTAGTAAAGAGTGGAGGGACAGAGGAATCTTGACAAGGAGAGGGAATATCTAGCCTAATATCTTGTCCACAAAAAAATTAAGGAATTTGTCACACATAGCCAGAGACTCTGTAGGGAAGAGTTACCATCTATACCAGTCTAATCTCAGAATTAATAAATATTGACATAGATAGTTTTAAATGTTTTCAATATGCTGTCTACATTTATTTAAATCTCTCTCTCTCTCTCTCTCTCTCTCTCTCTCTCTCTCTCTCTCTCTGTAGCCTTTGAAACCATGCAGCAGGAGAAATTTGAGGAATATGGGTACACCTTTATTGCACCCAGGTAACACACACACACACAGAGCAGCAACCGCGCAACAGACCTATATATATATATATATATATATACACCAGACTGACAAACAATTTCTGTTTTCAATTTTCTAGTTTCATTTGTTTAATTTCAACAGTTTTGTGTAAATGGTTGTCACAGCCATGAAGATTTCTGCAGTTTTGCAGTTAGTTTCCACATTCTAGGTCGACAGGGAGTGGAGTTTGAACATGGGAAAATCCTGTTTTCCATGACATAATGACTATAAAGACTTTCCTTTCTCTTTGTCTGTATTGTTCAGGTAATCTCACTCTTGTAAACCGGCTGCTGCTGGACGCCGGTCTCACAGCAGACCTTGTCAATGTCTGGAAGGATCAGAATGTGTAAGTTTAGAGCAAAACACACACATGGAACAACATAAAACACTCATCTACATCTGTGTGAAATGTCTCGAGTTTTCAAGTACAAAGATCTCTGCAGACCAGAGAGACGCCTTTGTATAACTGCTGAACACAAAGCTCTATTTAGAGTCCTGACATGAATAAGACTGCTGTCTTATTGTAGAAAGCAAACTCGAGAGTCTAGCAATTATAACCAGGATTAAAGAACCCGACCATGTGGGAGTCCAAAAACACAATACTTAATGCATGCGACACATTTCAAAATTGTGTTTTCAATTAAACAAATGGTGTTTCAATTAAATTTGTACATTGAAGAATGACCCAAATATTCCATTGTTTTATTTATTTTTTTTTTTTGGAGGCTGAATGTGTTATTAGTTACTCGGAATGTTCTTGAAATAAATGAATTTAAAGTACAAGGCTAGAATACCTAAACAAAACACTCACAGGTGTAAAGCTAGTTACAGCTAGAGCTAGAGTTGCTTGGTTTCTGTTTGTGGTTTTTAGGAAAATTCTAAACTGCATGCTAAACATACTGACGTTTTTTTTTTATTTCATTAGAGATGGAGTTTTGGCCCACTCTCTCTCTCTCTCTCTCTCTCTCTCTCTCTCTCTCTCTCTGTAGCCTTTGAAACCATGCAGCAGGAGAAATTTGAGGAATATGGGTACACCTTTATTGCACCCAGGTAACACACACACACACAGAGCAGCAACCGCAAACCTCCCACAGGGTTTAGTCGTGACAGGTTTATGTGGACTGTATCTAGACTCCATTGGTCTTTGAAGGCCTATAAATTCACACCTTCAGACCCAAACTTTACTCCCCTTAACAATGGATCCCACAGACACGGCAGCGGAAATGCTTGGTGAAAACGTCACACTACTTGAATACGCAGGCCTCACTGTGGTCATCAAACTGATTGTGTGTTTTTCTGTGATTAAACACTAATAATGTTTTTCAGGGAATACTGCAAGGACCTCAAAATCTCATCCAACAACACCCAGTTTCTGATGGACTTCAATGAGTATATTGACAGGAAAACTCCAAATGATCCTCTGTGTGAGTGCAAACCTGAACACATTTATCTATCTTAAAGTGTGAGCGCTGTCCCACAATGCAATAAGCTCAACTTGACCTTCCTTTTCTTGTGTGATGACTATAAGCTGTGCTTGCTTATGTATTTATTAGTGCTGTCAATCGATTAAAAAAAATAACTAATCACATTTGTTTCTGAAATTAATCACAAATAATCGTGATTAATCCCACTTAACATTAAAGTTTTTAAATATACTATTATATTGCAATAATTTCACAATCAATCTTTAAATTAATGTAGAAACAACATAAAGACAATATATTTTTAATAGTTGTTTAATGGCATCTTTTTTTATTTGCCTGAAGGTGATTATCACTGATAGCAATACTACTGATGTCTCTATGAAATTATAAGCTACGCAATATCGCGTTCATAATCGCAGAGATTATGAACGCGATATTGCGTAGCTTGTCAGTGAACTACGGATCTGTGTATTAAATGCCACTCCATCAGAAAGCACATGATGGAGATTTAGTACTAATCACAGAACCGGCTTTACTGACGAGATGCGCATGACAATCACATGCAATTTATCATGCAGCCCTAAATATATATATACTGTATATA